ACGCAGATTTTCAATACCTGTTGTCAATTTGCGCAATAAGTCTTCCTGTCGAATTTCTTCTATTTATCATATATGTTGTTCTAAAAAAAACTAATCGTGTAATAAATTGATTCCCCACCAGAATTACACTATATTCATAGAATTTTGAAAACCCAAGATAAATTTGAAATTTCTGCCACAAAATGAGGTAAGATGGCTTGAGAGTTTAACACACAGCACATTTAAGTGGGACAGAGGGAAACTGACTGGAAACAATGATGGCAGTATAGGGACTTTTTCATGGGTAGTAAGGAAACAAGCGTTGCCTTGTGATACACTGGAGAGGAAGTCGGAGGGACATGATCGCTCATTTACTGAAGAGGCACGACACATAAAAAAAAAAGAAGCAAAAGCAAAATAAACTTCTTTGTAATGCATACAGATATTACGACGAATGCCAGAAACGCCTCGTAGAGGATATTCAGGGAACCAGAAATTTTTGTAAAGAGTATTCTGAGTGACAGAAACGCCTTGTAGAGAGTATTCAGAAAGCCAGAAACACCTGATACAGGGTATTCAGAAAGCCAGAAATGCCTTTGTAGAGAACATTCAGAAAGCCAGAAATACCTTGTAGAGAGTATTCAGAAATACTGACAGAGAGTATTCCGAAAGCCAGAAATACCTTGTAGAGAGTATTCAGAAAGCCAGAAACGTCTGACAGAGGGTATTCAGAAAGCCAGAAATACCTTGTAGAGAGTATTCAGAAAGCCAGAAATGCCTTGTAGAGAGCATTCAGAAAGCCAGAAATACCTTTTAGAGAGCATTCAGAAAGCCAGAAATGCCTTGTAAGAGAGTATTCAGAAAGCCAGAAATACCTTGTAGAGAGCATTCAGAAAGCCAGAAATACCTTGTAGAGAGTATTCAGAAATACCGGACAGAGAGTATTCGGAAAGCCAGAAATACCTTGTAGAGAGTATTCAGAAAGCCAGAAACGTCTGACAGAGGGTATTCAGAAAGCCAGAAATACCTTGTAGAGAGTATTCAGAAAGCTAGAAACACCGGATAGAGGGTATTCAGAAAGCCAGAAATGCCTTGAAGAGAGTTTCCCGAAAGCCAGAAACATCTGACGGGGCGTATTTAGAAAGCCAGAAACGCTTGACAGAGCGTATTCAGAAAGCCAGAAATGTTTTGTAGGGAGTATTCAGAAAGCTAGAAATACCTTGTAGAGAGTTTTCCGAAACCCAGAAACATCTGACAGAGCACATTTAGAAAGCCAGAAACGCCTAGCAAGAGCGTATTCAGAAAGCCAGGAACACCTGATAGAGGGTATTCAGAAAGCCAGAAATGCCTGACAGATGACATCCAGAAATCCAGAAATGCCTGACTGAGAGTATTCAGAAATCCAGAAATGCCTGATAGAGGATATTCAGAAAGCCACTTGACTAATCATGAAGATTTGACTTGTAAGTTGAGAATGCGAGGTAATCTCCTAAAAGATGAAGAAATGACTTGAAGCAACAGAAATGTGGTTCTACAGAAGGATCTTGAGGATAACGTGCAGCAAATATGTGAGCAACGACGAGAACCAGCGGTTAAACGTGGTACGGCCTTAAGCCAACATCAATTAATTAACTGGCATCCAAAATAGTTTATAAACGGGTGGAGAGTCCCATCGAATCCCACCCCGAATTCACCTGTCCATTCTTTATAATAGGCACAGAAAGGAAACTACGAGAACACCTACAGAGCGTAGTGAAGGCAAACAAGAAGAAGGGACTAAACATCAAAAGTTCGACACTGTAAGAAGGCGCATTGGGAGAGGGAAAGATGCCTTCCAAAAGTTAAGCAAAGTATTGAGAAAAAGAAAAATTTCGTTAGAGACAAAGGAAAGAATGCGTAATATCGATCCTTCTATATGGCAGTGAAGGCTGGACAATCACCTCACAGATGAAAAAGTGACTTGGGACAAGAGAAATGTGGTTCTACAGAAGGATGCTGAGGATACCATGGACCGAACATGTTAGGAACGAAGAAGTTTTAGAGAAAATGGAATCAAAATGAAACTTATACTTTTAACATCAAAAAGAGAGAGTTGAAATTTCTAGGGCATATAATGAGGAAGGAAGGTTTGGAAAATCTGATACTAACAGGACAGAGGAAAACAACGAATAACCAACTTAGTAAGCTTGAGTAAATGGATAGGAGAATAAGGTTGAAGAGAAATAACAAAACAATAACATTTATTAAGCGCTACGAAAGACAGGAAATGTGGAGAGCCATCATCGTTAACGCCTTGAAGGATACGGCACATAGAAGAAGAAAATGAGTTAATGTAAATGGTTGGCAGAACGGAATTTAGAATAGATAACAAAAATACAAAAATTTATTAAGAACTACAAAGGAAAGGAAAATGGAGAAGATCGCCAAGCATAAAATGAACGTCATAAAAAAGGAAGAAAAGCAAACTTGATTAAATGGTTGACAATAGAGCATTCAGGTGTGATAACTAAAAGACAATATTTATTAAGAGCTACAAAGGAGAGAAATTGTGGAGAAGATCCAAGATAAAGGAACATAGCACATAAAAAGGAAGATAAGCAAACTTGATTAAATGGTTGACAGTACAGCATTTAGGTGTGATAACTAAAAGACAATATTTATTAAGAGCTACAAAGGAGAGGAAATTGTGGAGAGTCATGATCGCCAAGACCCTAAAGGAACATAGCACATGAAAAGGAAGATAAGCAAAATTGATTAAATGGATGCCAAAACAGGATTTAGGAGAGATAACAAAAAGACAAAATTTATTAAGAGCTACAAAGGAGAGGAAATTGTGGAGAGTCATGATCGCCAACACCCTAAAGGAACATAGCACATAAAAAGGAAGATAAGCAAACTTGATTAAATGGTTGACAGTACAGCATTTAGGTGTGATAACAAAAGACAATATTTATTAAGAACTAAAAGACAAAATTTATTAAGACCCTAAAGGAACATATCCCGCCAAAAAAGGAAGATAAGCAAACTTGATTAAATGGTTGACAATACAGCATTTAGGTGTGATAACTAAAAGACAATATTTATTAAGAACTACAAAGGAGAGGAAATTGTGGAGAGTCATGATCGTCAACACCCTAAAGGAACATATCCCATAAAAAGGAAGATAAGCAAACTTGATTAAATGGTTGACAGTACAGCATTTAGGTGTGATAACTAAAAGACAATATTTATTAAGAGCTACAAAGGAGAGGAAATTGTGGAGAGTCATGATCCCCTACTCCCCGAAGAGACAAGGCACATTAAAAAGAATTTGATGTAAACGCAACAAATTGTATTCATGTGAATGCTGTAAGTGTCGCCGATACAATCCTGATGCATCGTGACACTGAAAATAAAGCATAGAAAATTTATGAGCTATTTGACATCTTCAAGATAAACATCTTCCCATATTATGATTCTCTTGCAAATGTCGCATGTTAATTGACGAAACTTAGTTTTCATCCGGGATCAATCATTTAACTTGTCGTTTTAGTGTTGTTGATTTAAATTTTAAATTTTAGAATGCGAAGAGTGAGTTTGGGGAGTGGTGCCAACAATTTATTCAAAACGTCACAATGAAAGAGTCAATGTGAAATCGTTAAGAATCTTCGAATGACAAGGAACGGTGTCCAAAATCCTGCCAGTCTTGGAAAGCATTTTGAATATTAGAAAGACTTGTAAACATTGGAAATTAGAACCAAAAAACAGATGAAAGAAAATTAAAGAAAATTAAAGAAAATTAAAGAAAGAAAGTAAGAAAGAAAGAAAGGTAGAAAGAAAGAAAGAAAGAAAGAAAGAAAGAAAGAAAGAAAGAAAGAAAGGTAGAAAGAAAGAAAGAAAGAAAGAAAGAAAGAAAGAAAGAAAGAAAGAAAGAAAGAAAGGTAGTAAGAAAGGTAGACGTATTTAACACATCTTGCCAGCACTTCTTAGATAATGGACTATTCAGTTTTGATCGCGTGAAAAGAGGTGGAAATTCCACTATATGGTTTGGGTAAGAAAATGAAAGGAAGGAAGGAAGGAAGGAAGAATAGAGAAAGAATAAAGAATGAAAGAATAAAGAATGAAAGAAAAAGAAAGAAAGAAAAAAGAAAGAAGGAATGAAAGAAAAGAAAGAAAGAAAAAGAAAGAAAGAAAAAAGAAAGAAAAAGAAATAAAGAAAGGAAAAGAAAGAAAGAAGCGTAAAACGGCTGTTTTTCTTAATTTCAATTTTTTTCATTTGTACCCACTTCTTAAAATAACGTCCAGCCATCATTTTTATGTTTGCTATTGCAATATTTTATTAAAGTTATTAGGCTTCAATATTTAACGTTGCGATACGAAGAAGTTATCGTCTTAGAAATCGCCATGAATATTATTAAGATAGAAAAAATCGTGAAATTTTCACCGGTTAAAACTAGTGTAAATAAATTTACTGAAAGTTTTGTTTTTCTTCCATTAATTATATCAGTTAATTCTGTCTCTCCTTCTGATGGCTCATAAATTTGGCAGGCCTTATTTTCATTATCACAATGTTTTCTCTTCTTGATTGAATGCGAATGTGACAGTATGCATTAAAGTTCTGCAAGGCAATAAAACAACTAAGACGCAAGAGGTAATCGACAGAGGTTTAGTTTGCTTTGGTTTTCTTTTACGGCATATCAACCTCAATGGCTTATTTAATGTTGACAAAATTTTTATTGTTGGTAATATTTTTTTTTAAATTTATTGCAGGCAAAAAATTTTCCCAAAAAGTATTGCTGGTATTAAAATATATTTTTAGACTTTCATAGTTTTTTGACCCCTCTTGGACCCTAACAGGTGCTACCACCCCGGGACAGGGTGGACTTGGGAAGTCCAGCAATTAACAACTCCTCAAAACCTCCTGATCAAAGGCCTTGCTGTTGAACGTAGTTTATCGTCTTACCCAGGATGCGTGCCTAGATGGGTGACCGCTGGGAAATACCAGGTGCTGTAAGATTGGATATGTGTCTGGCCTGAAGTGCTTACGACCATATCACCTTGAAATACCGGTTCCCGTATAATCACCTAAGTTAAGCAACGTAGAGCCTGACCAGTGCCTAGATGGGTGACCGCTTGGAAATACCAGGTGCTGTAAGATTGGATATGTGTCTGGCCTGAAGTGCTTACGACCATATCACCTCGAAATACCGGTTCCCGTAAAATCACCGAAGTTAAGCAACGTAGAACCTGGTCAGTACCTAGATTGGTGACCGCTTGGAAATACCAAGTGCTGTAAGATTGGATATGCGGCTGGTCTGCAGGGATTTCGGAAATATTACCTTAAAATGCCGGTCCTCGTGCAATCACCGGAGTTAAGCAACGTAGAGCCTGGTTAGTACCTAGATGTGTGACCGCTTGGAAATAACACGTGTACTGGGTCATATTTCATTGGAAAAATGCGAAAAAAGTAAATAATAACGGAATTATTCGTTTTGTTTCAATTAATTTGAAAAAGGGAATGATGTGCGCACATGAATGCCATCATTCGCTTTGAAATGAATGACCCCCCCCACCCTACCTCAGCTTGACCTTTCCGAAGGTGACTGATATGTTGATAAAAATTATCTCTTAGACCCCTTTACCAAAATGGTTGCCCCCAGCCGTTTTCATAGTAATTAATTTTGAGAATGAACATGCTTATAAAGATGCGTAAATTTCAAGTTTGGTTATTCCTTAATTTTCTCTTGGGGATGAAACAGGGCTTGATACTTTAACTCAATTTGATTTTAATAATTATATTGAAGGTTTTCGGCTCTTGTTTTTTGAAACATGAGAACTCTTATGTAGCGAAGGAATCATATTTTTTTTTTAAAATAATTATAATTTAAGCTCTACTTCTGTATGGAGCACTGTTTTTTTTTAAATAAAAGCAAAAATACTAAAGAAGTCCGGATTATTTACCTAACGTGTTCTTTCCTATTTTTCTACATACCTGCACACACACACACACACACACACACACACACACACACACACACACACACACACACACACACACACACAGAGAGACACACACACACGCATGCACGCACACACAAACACACACGCATGCACGCACACACACACGAACGCACGCACGCACACACACACACACACACACACACACACACACATATATATGGGGGCGTGTGGAGGGGTTTGCACAAGGGTGTATCTAAATTGTTGCACCTTTTTGATGTCGGTATATCCTGTCTTGGCTGTCCATTTTGCCAGCAACCATGCATTCCGTCTCCTTGCAATTAATGCTTAGTCCTTTCTTCTTGCTTTCCTTCACTCCCTTCTGTAGGAGTTCTTGAAGTTTTCCGTCGTCACATCTGTGATTTGAAATTGTCTCTCCCATTCCATTTCTTCCGAGCTGATAACCTTTACGCGACGAGCAGTCACGAACAGCGCAATGCTGTTTTTTGAATTTAAACGACGTAGAAATACAACTATTCTGGCGTTTTTGAGAAACCTAAGTAGTTTTCCATTTGTTTATTTAACAAACCCATCCTGTTTATAAAGCCTGACGAAACCGCAGAGGTTTGAATTTGAATGTCGCTAAAGTCATTAGCAATTAAAAAAAAAAATGATCTGATTATTTTAAAAGGTGGTTGTTAATAAAGTTATACCGTTTAAAATGACATTTAAATGGCGTCAAAGAAACCTTGGAAAATAGATTTACAAAAAGAAATGGCGTATAAAATGAAATGAAAGTAAACACGTGAAAATGATCGAACAATTATCACGTACCCTCACAACATTTCATCAAGGAAGGGGGGAAGAATTAAAAAGCCTGGGTAGGTATTTTTAAAAGTATTGACTAACTCGTTTAATTCGTTTTAAATTTTATCACGGCGTTTTACACACAATTTTTTGTTCTCATACTTTGTGGGCGACAGTGACGAACAAAAGAAATTTGCCATAGAACCAAAAAAAAAAAAAAAATCAGTTTGAGTTTTCATTTATTTGTCATGTTCCTTGAGGATGTTGGTGATCATGGCTCTCCACAATTTCCTGTCCTTTGTAGCTCTTAATAAATTTTGTCTTTTCGCTATTTCTTCTAAACATTGTTCCGCCATCCATTTACTAAAGCTCACTAAATAAGCTTTTTCTTTGTCCTGCTTGGTTGATTCCTTCCTTCCTTCCTTTCTTTCTTTCTTTTTCTCACTGAAACCAAGTAGCGTATTTACCCTCTTTCCGCTCAATTTGCCTTTCAAACGTTGTTCGTTAATTCTCGTATGAATATAACGAACCCGACTTGAATTGAAACTCAGACATCCGATTTCCAACTCCATTACACCAAACGCACATCAAGCTAACAGCACATGGTATTCCCAAGCGGTCACCCATTTAGGTACTGACCAGGCTCGACGTTGCGTAACTTCGGTGATTGTATGGTAATCGGTATTTCAAGGTGATATGTCCGCAAGCCCTTCAAACCAGCCGCACATCCAATCTTACAGCACTTGGTATTTCCAAGTGGTCACCCATCTAGGCACTGGTCAGGCTCTACGTTGCTTAACTTCGGTGATTTTAAGGGAACCGGTATTTCGAGGTGATATGGTCGTAAGCACTTCAGGCCAGACACATATCCAATCTTACAGCACCTGGTATTTCCAAGCGGTCACCCATCTAGGCACTGGTCAGGCTCTACCTTGCTTAACTTCGGTGATTATACGGGAACCGGTATTTCAAGGTGATATATCCATAAGCCCTTCAGACCAGCCGCACATCCAATCTTACAGCACTTGGTATTTCCAAGCGGTCACCCATCTAGGCACTGGTCAGGCTCTACGTTGCTTAACTTCGGTGGTTGTACAGGAATCGGTATTTCCAAGCGGACATACATCTAGGTACTTTCCTACCCCAGTCTTTGGTGATCGTACGAAAACCGGCATTTCAACGTGATACGGCCGTAATTAACTGCCATCCAAAGTAGTTTAAAATCGGGCGTAGAATCTCATCTAATCCCACCCGAATGCACCCACCCCGTTTGAAAAATAGATGACACAGTGTTGATAGTAGACACAGAAAGGAAAGTACAAGAACTCCGATAGAACGTAGTGAAGGAAAGCGAGAAGAAAGGACTAAACATCAAAAGTTCGACGCTGTAATCCGAAGGCGCATTGGGAAAAGGAAAGATGCCTTCCAAAGTTTAATTAAAATATTAAGAAACAGGAAAATTTCGTTAGAAAGAAAGAAAAGAGTACTATCACTCCTCCTATATGGCAGTGAATGCTGGAGAATCTCCTCATAGTTAAAGAAGAGACTTGAAGCAACAGAAACAAAGAAAAAAGTACTGAACTGTTACGTAATATCAGTCCTCCTATATGGCAGTGAATGCTGGACAATCTCCTCACAGATGAAGAAGAGACGTGAAGTAACAGAAACAAAGAAAAGAGTACTGATCTGTTACGTAATATCAGTCCTTCTATATGGCAGTGAATGCTGGACAATCTCCTCACAGATGAAGGAGAGACTTGAAGCAACAGAAACAAAGAAAAGAGTACTGAACTGTTACGTAATATCAATCCTCCTATATGGCAGTGAATGCTGGACAATCTCCTCACAGATGAAGAGACTTGGGCCAAGAGAAATGTCGTTCTACAGAAGGATGCTGATAATACCATGGATGGAAGATGTTATCAATCACGAAGTTCTATACCAATTCGAAACAAAAAGGACACTTATACTTAACATCAAGAATAGACTATTATAATGCCTGGTGCACATAACGAGGAAAGAAAGCATGGGAAATTTGATACGCGCGGGGCAAATTGAAAGCAAGAAGGACGCACAGTCTAAATGGTAAGCTTGTGTAGTAAAGATGACAAAAAGACAAAATTTATTCAGAGCTACAAAGGACAGGAAATGGTGGAGAGCCATGATTTCCGAACGCTCCTTTGTGGCCGAGAGGTTAGGCACGTCAGCGTAAATGACGGTTCCGGATAGGATGCAGGTTCGAATCCTGTCAAAGGACGAATATTTTCTATGAAAATTTCTCGGACATTCAGGCCGGTAAATGTTATTTAATACTGTTTATTATAAACAGCATTTACTTAAATACTTGTATCTATAAAAAAGAACGTTAAACATAAAACTGTCTTTAATAAATAAATATATATATATATATATACATGCACACACATCATGGCTTATATATATATATACATGCACACACACACATCATGCCTTTTATAGACAGTGATGCCCGCAATGCAGGTAATATTATGTGTCTATTTTTAACTACTTTATTGTTATTTTGGTTATTTTTTTTTTGTTGTTGCAGATTTTGTATGCTTTACTCTTAGCATTGTTGCTGAAATAGAAGGTTGGTTTTTTAAAGGTCTTCCAAATATGTATTAAAACACATTTAAAAAAATGGTTGTCCTGCATAGCGATAAACTCCTTCCGAAATATCTAAACCGGTCATTGACAAACTGCGCTTTGCGAGCCACATGCGGCCCGTCCAGTCTATCTGAAAGGTACGCTTAATTTCATAATGTAAATAACATTTCTTAAAAAATTTCTCTTTTGTTCTCACTTGTTCACTCACACAGTCTCTCATACATAGTCAGATACATGAACAATGATTAAGTACAATGTTTCTTGAATTTTAGGGAAACTAAAGTTGTCAGCATTTTCAGACCATTGGCGATTTGCACTAAGGAAGATCCTACGTAGATCTTTTGCTTTTGAAAAAGGAAACGTTCATTAGAATTTTTTACCTAAAGAAGATAAACTTTCCTACCATTTCTAAGATATATGCATTACGCATATGGTCTTCCGTAGTGAAAGTAGCTGAGCTATCTACCACGAAAAATTACCTTGAATGTTTTTATTAGTCAGGCTCGCCTTGAGATGTGCCATAGATCATGAGGTATATATATATATATATATATATATATATATATATATATATATATATATATATATATATATATATATATATATATATATATATATATATATATATATATATATATACCACAATAAATACCACAACTCTAACTGTAGAAGTCATGGCATAATTTATTTATTAGAATGCACCCTATGCCAGAAACAATATGTGGGAAAATCTGAATGGACCTTTCACTACAGAATTAATAATTATCCGCCTTTTAAATGTAGCCGTCTCTTCTACTCCAATAGCTTCATACCTCGCACCTCTCGCCTGTGGAACACCCTTCCCAATTACTGTTTCCCTGAGACCTATAATCTCCAACTATTCAAATGTAATGTCAATCGACATCTCCAGTTACCTTGATCTACCCACTATCCTTCTCCTCATCCTTTCTTCTATCACCCCTATCTGATCTTGCTCCAAATCTTCTGCAACCCCTGCATCCTAGTGGCTTCACGCCTTGCTCGGGGCGTAATGCTTAAAAAAAAATAGGATGAAGTCTTCCACGGAAAAATGAAAAAAAAATGATTTTTAAAGCCATGCAAAATTCTCTATAACAGAATATATATATATATATATATATATAACTCTGAAGTAGAACGGATGTCCCTTGAGGGATGTCCCGTACCTTGAGAGGATATTAGTCCTCAAACACCCGACCTCAAGTGGAACTCTTATATACGATCCATCACTAAAGATGCAGATAAAATGATCGGCTCCCTGTACCGCTCCAGCGAGTACCTAACTCCTTTGTAAGAGCCAGATCAGGCCGAAAATGGAGTACTCTTGACATATTTGATCGGGAGTGGCCCAGTTCTCACTTTCGAGTCTTCAAAAGCGTTTCCCAGTCCCTGTGAGTGACGAATTCTTTTCTACCCTCTAGCCTCTCTCTCTCACAGGCGGGATGTGGCGAGTCTTGTTGACCATGTTCGCCAAGTCTATGAATATAGAATACAGCGCAGTACGTAATCTGTTCAAGGAAACAACGTTAAAGATTAACACTCACCAGCAGCGGTTCCGGAATTCTTCAGTGTTCGATATCAGAGGTTGGCAGTGAATATTCGGAAAAAAAACATGGCCGCCTTTATACACGTCGCATAGAATATTCTGAGCGTTCTGATTGGTTAACCCTTCTATTGGTGAACTATAAAATGAGTCAGCTCATTTTGGCTGGCTCAGTAGTACTAAAGGGTAACCAAAAATTCCAACACGCCTCTCACTGATATATCGCTACTACCAATGAAAGTTCTCGGACGAACTATATTCCTTGGTTCCGTTAGGTCTAATCGTCACGGCAAGGAAGTGCCATACCACTTACATAGTAACAAACACACACATTCCCTCCGTATTCCATCGGTGAGAAGTAAGTTCCACGCAAACGGCTTCTTCCCGCGAACCACTCCTCTGTGGAGCAAACTCCCAAGAGGATGTTTCCACGATTAATATAATCTTAACCTGTTCAGGTCTAGAGTTAAAGTTATCTTGCTCCCAATCAATATAAACTACTCCTTAACGTAAAACGCTCTACCTTGAGTGGCGCCCAGGCCTTGTGCAGGGTGAAGCTTACTGTAACACCCAAGAGGATGTTTCTTCGACTACTATAATCTTAACCTGTTCAAGTATAGAGTTAACCGTTATCTTGCCCCCTACCCATATAAACTACACCTTAGCGTAAAACCCTCTAGCTTGAGTGGCACACGGGCCTTGTACAGAGTGATCTTTACTGCATCTCCCAAGAGGATGTTTCCCCGATTACTATAATCTTAACCTGTTCAAGACTAGAGTTAACCGTTATCATCCCCTCCTATTCATGTAAACTACCTCTTAACGTAAAACCCTCTACCTTGAGTTGCGCCCGGGCCTTGTACAGAGTGAACCTTATTGTAACTCCCAAGAGGATGTTTCCCCAATTACTATAATCTTAATCTGTTCAATACTAGAGTTAACTGTTATCTTGCTCCCCTATCCCTATAAACTACACATTAACGTAAAACCCTCTATCTTGAGTGGCTCCCGAGACTTGCACAGAGTAAAACCTTATTGTAAAAAAAAAAAAAAAAAAAAAAAAAGAAAAAATAGTAATTGTGTGTGTATTTATATTGACAAAAGTGTCTAGCACTTTTTTTTTTTTTCACCGTATAGAACTATGACGACGCCCACCTCCTCACTTAATTTGTGTTGGGACTTTAACTGTTCTTGTTCAACCTCTACACGTGGTGCATACTTGACATTTCCGAAAGCGGTGGGTGGTGAGGGTGGTGGTGGTGGTGCTGGTGGTGTGTGTGTGTGTATGGGGGAGGATCGTGTTCGAAGAAAGGTCAAGTCTTCTCGTCAAAGTCGGATGACATAGTTGCTCTTTCAAAACGTGTGTCAGTGAAACAGAAGAAGCCAATGTGGATGTCGTGTCTTCTCTCGCCATCATTGATCTTTGCAACTGGAAGAAGGGTGCTAATATAATTCAGCAAAGCGAGGTTACCAACAACAAAACAACCATTTGCAAGTTTTGACTCACCCTGTACTCTCTCTCTCTCTCTCTCTTTCTCGTTCCTCATTAGCCTATACACACACACACACACACACACACACACACACACACACACACACATATTGCCCGGGGTAAATTGATTTAAAAAATTATTTAAAAAATCTAGCCAACTTCATTTAGATTCTTTTTGTCAAATGTTTCCAATCATTTTTTCTTGATATATAAAAAAACACACAAAACAGATGGAAGTTATATATATATATAAATTTTTCATTCTTACTTATAACTAAATAAAACTTTTTTTAAAATTAATAACATTATTAAAAGGAAAGCTCACAATATTTATTGAAGAATCATCGTACATTTCATTTGGTGAGTGAGTTGGTTGATTGAAGTACCACATTGAACCTCATTTGGCCTCTAAACTGACCACCCTTTGAAATTTTGTCTATCAAGTGAATAGTATTTGGACACCCAGTGAGAATCAAATTTACTATTTTACGGAATGGTCTGAATAACTAAATTAAAAATGAAGATTGTGTATATATATATATATATATATATATATATATATATATATATATATATATATATATATATATATATTATAAATTAATTGATTTAAAATATGTTTTTTTCTACACAGTTCCAACCATGTTTCAAAAATAGAAGCTAAAAACCCCGAATTTAATTTTGCAATTAAATTAAAAGCATTAGTTCCATTTCATCTTCAAGCGAATTTTGGAGTAACTTTTAAAAATTACCGGGTTTTAAAGACACAGCTAAAATCACATTTCCATGGTTACAGAATATTCTACTTAAATTGAACAAGGGATGTCTAGATTTCCTTATGTCAGTATCATTGTATCAGTTATTAGCTACAATTTGGAAGGGGTAGGGATGTATTTTACAATGAAACCTGACATCAGTTGAATGGATGTCGTCTGAATGTTTTTTTAAAAAAATTGTTAACGGTAAAAAAATTTCATCGTCACTTTTTAAATTTAAAGATTTTCGTTTTTTTTTTTTTTTATTACTTTTTATTTAACTACGATTTGAAATATTCTCCTTTTTAATTTTTATTTTACTATATTCTTTTAAGAACAGTTAAATGTATTAGAATCCATTATATTATGTAGGATTATGTATGAGAGAGAGAGGCAAGGTGGAGTAATGGTTAGTGGCTTGGATTGAGAAATTGAGAGCCGAGTTCGAATTCCAGTCGAATCCATTGCATTTCACTTACGTGCTAATACCCTTAGGAAAGGTACGAATCGTCTTCTTCTCTCTCCAGTTATGGGTAAATAGCAGAACAAACTGGGTTCTATAGCCTTGGATGGCAACTGGTCTAAGAGAAGGACAACCGTCAATTTAAAACATGCAGAGGGTCGTTTGGGGACCTTGTGACACACACCAGGTCTCTGTATTCGGCTCTTCAAAGTGAGGTTGGTTCTGCACGAAACATTCACCACTATAATCAAATGTCATGAGCTGGCGTCGGGCTACCAGTTCTTAGGAACTGAGCTGCTTGATCTTCATACATCGAATACGACGGGAGAGTCGAGTGTATATATAATTAAGTCTTTTATATAAAAAGTAATTTATAATACTAGTTTGGTAAAAGTAACTTCACTGATGGTAACATGATCAAACTTCAAATCTAAATATATATTTATATATATATATATATATATATATATATATATATATATATATATATATATATATATATATATATATATATATATATATAAATCCCAAATCATCTCATATGAGGAATAAGACATTCTCCATAAGAGGATTTGTGATTTTATTGTGTATTAATTATTGAGATCTTTTTGTGGACTAGTTTTAATGTTTTATATTACTAGGATCCACTTGGATTATATACCAACGGATTTATTACCTTTACTATATATATATATATATATATATATATATATATATATATATATATATATATATATATATGGTATAAGATGACAATTGTAAAAAAAAGATCTTTTTTCTGACGTGTTTCGTCTTCCGACTTTTTCAAGGCAAAACTGAAATCGATATGTTTTTACAGTTATAGTTACATTAAAAAAAAAATACAAATTTATAAATAAACTCTTAGTATTAAGGAAATTTACATTAACCAGAAAGATTCTTAGGCAGAAGCGTCTATTTTTTTTAAATATTTCGATTTTGTAATGTAACCATAACAACAAAAAAAGAACAGAAAAGGACCTTGATCATTTAAACTATTCCATAGGACTCCCCAAACTAATCTATTCAAAGAAAACAACGCTCTTACCTTCGCGCCAGAGGCTACTATATTGATAATGATTCAAATGGGAAGGAGCTAAGCTGATTCTGATGATGTAGCTATTCATAATTTCGTATAAGAATGGCTGTCAATAAAAAAAAATATCAACATTATTTAACAAGTTTTCCAAGCAGTAGGACTCAAGATAACCCCCTTCCGAAGGTTACGGCCACATCGCGTTAAAACACCGGTTCGCGTACGTTCAGCGAAGTTAAGCAACGTCGACCTTGGTCTGTACCTAGATGGGTGACGGCTTGAGAATACTAGGTACCGAATTGGAAATCGGAGAGCCGTGTTCCAATGTTCATTAGGTATGAATCCACCTATTCTCCCTCAGCTATGGGAGAGACCTATTTTTTTTTCTGGAAAATTGTTTCAACAGAAATACAATCGAAAGACTTGTCTCACTAAATCATTATTATCACCCCCCGCCATTTTTTTTTTTTTATATATGACTTGTCTCACTAAATTATTATTATCACCCCCCTCCAAATTTTCGCAATCTAAACAATATTGTCTGGTTTTGAATAACCTGCAATGGGTTGATAAGCCATAAAAAACGAATGAATCAATCAAATACTGGTTAGCTATACAGGCATATCTTTTAGAGTTATTTACATTCACTGGAATATAAATGTCTAGAAACGACAGCGGCCACAAAGTGAGAGATCAGTTTATATATTCACTGAAATATAGAATTGATCCCCCACTTTATATTCATGTTATAATTCCTTGTTTATCAAATTCTTATTAGGTATCAGTCTACCCCTTCATCTCACCCAGCTATGGGTTAATTAGTAAGACTTGTATCACTAAGCCATTATTATTTCAAAAAAATATTTTCTGGCTTTAAATAACCTGCAAAAGGTTGATAAGCCGTAAAAAAACGAATCATTCAATTAAACGTTTCCAAAACACCCCCCAAAAGTATATACGCACTATATGCGGGTACATGCACTTATACTTCATATTTTCTGAGGCAACTTGTCGCCCTTTAAGCGAAAGTATTGCAAATGCCACTAAAATAATTGCTTACGGTCTTATTGGTGAGGGCGCCCGAACTTTGTGGGTCATTCTCCAATCAATATACCCTGGCATCTTGTATCGGGTTAAGAGCGATGGAATTTCTTTTTTATGACATTTCAGCAACACCGGCTTGCGACAATTTAAAAACAAGAGCAGCAATGACGTCAGAAGTGTTTGGCTTTGGGACCTTTTTTTGCGCAGAGAGCTAACGGCCAACGGATTTTCGGTTTTAATTTACGATAAAGTGACACACGGGAAATATTCGTCATATTTATCTTACAATTAAAACACACCATAAACACATTTCCTCAATGCACAAAGTACGCTAACATTTCAAGAATTAAACATAAAGCTATATAACATTTCAAGAATTAAACATAAAGCTATATAACATTTCAAGAATTAAACATAAAGCTATATAACATTTCAAGAATTAAACATAAAGCTATAACATCTATGCAAGGAAAGTTGATTGTCTGTGCCGCGCCGGAAGATTTTTCTCGCCTGAGTCCAGCCTTCAAATCTACAAATCAACCATTCGTCCATGCATTGAATACTGTTGCCATAAATGGTGACCCCGCTGTTCATCTTGAGGTCCTCGACAAATATGCAGAGACAGATATGCAATGTGATAGGCCCTCACCTTGCATCTCGACTCACTTTCTCATAGACGTAATGTGGCTTCCCTCTGTCTTTTCTACAAATATTTTCATGGCAACTGCTCTGACGAGCTACTTTCACTGGTGAACTAAATGAATTTAAGTGTGCTACTTCATTGTCGAAACAGTTAAATGTAACCGCCTGTTCTACTCCAAAAGCTTCTTCTCTCGCACTTCCCGACAGTGGAACTCCCTTCCTCTTACATGCGTCCCTGATAGCTATAATCTTCAAATATTCAAATGTAACGTCAATCGACATCTTCTAATGCCTTGATCTTGATCCCCCGTCCTTCTCTTTATCCTTTCCTCAAACAACCTTCTTTGCTCTCACTCTCTGTAACACCTTGTGTGATAGTGTCACTCTCGCCTTGCTTGGGTTAAAATGCTTTAAAACAAAAACAATAAAAAACTAAAACATGATGAGGTATAAACGTAACATCGAAACAACCAATGAAAGCAAACGTACAAGGGTCATTCAATAAATAAGGTGATTTTTTCGGTATAAGGACTTCTAATATAGATAGAAGCTTACTTCAAAACTAGCCAGCAATACATATTTTTAGTAAAATGACCAGCAATACCTATTTATAGTAAAATGACCAGTAATATGTATTTATAATAAAATGACCAGCAATACATATTTATAGTAAAATGACCAACAATACCTATTTATAGTAAACTTACCAGCAATACATATTTATAATAAAATGACCAGTAATACATATTTATATTAAAGTAACGAACAATACCTATTTATAGTAAAATGACCAACAATACTTATTTATAGCAAACTGACCAGCAATATATATTTATAGTTAAATGACCAGCAATACCTATTTATATTAAAGTAACGAACAATACCTATTTATAGTAAAATGACCAACAATACTTATTTATAGCAAACTGACCAGCAATATATATTTATAGTTAAATGACCAGCAATACCTATTTATATTAAAGTAACGAACAATACCTATTTATAGTAAAATGATCAACAATACTTATTTATAGCAAACTGACCAGCAATATATATTTATAGTTAAATGACCAGCAATACATATTTATATTAAAGTAACGAACAATACCTATTTATAGTAAAATGACCAACAATACTTATTTATAGCAAACTGACCAGCAATATATATTTATAGTAAAATGACCAGCAATACCTATTTATATTAAAGTAACGAACAATACCTATTTATAGTAAAATGACCAACAATACTTATTTATAGCAAACTGACCAGCAATACATATTTATAGTAAAATGACCTGCAATACATATTTATATTAAAGTAACGAACAATACCTATTTATAGTAAAATGACCAACAATACTTATTTATAGCAAACTGACCAGCAATATATATTTATAGTAAAATGACCAGCAATACCTATTTATATTAAAGTAACGAACAATACCTATTTATAGTAAAATGACCAACAATACTTATTTATAGCAAACTGACCAGCAATACATATTTATAGTAAAATGACCAGTAATACATATTTATATTAAACTAACGAACAATACCTATTTATAGTAAAATGACCAACAATACTTATTTATAGCAAACTGACCAGCAATACATATTTATAATAAAATTACCAGTAATACATATTTATATTAAAGTAACGAACAATACCTATTTATAGCAAACTGACCAGCAATACATATTTATAGTAAAATGACCAGCAATACCTATTTATATTAAACTGGCCAGCAATATATTTTATATTTAGTTTAAGACATAAAATTGTGTTCAAAGTATTTAGAATTCAGTATTAAATAACCCATAGAGATGTTGATATGCCGCTAAACAAAATCAACCAACCAACCATGCTATCCTCAGCATCCTCAATATGTGGTTCCTTTAAATTACACTTAACTATCCTTTTCCTTTATTAACCAACATGTATTGATGTAGGGAGTATTTTAAAATGGTTACGTGTTGGGTTAAATGTACATGGTGTCCATAAAGTCTCTTTACAGTTTAAAAATATATATTCCAAAGGCAACTGATGAGATATCTTAATCAGATTTGTTCGATGAGCTGAGTAATTATCAAAGTTCTTAATAACGTTTCATTTGTGAATTTCCAGTATCCTGTTGATGAAAGAGGTACTGTTAAATGAACCCCTAACATTCCCAGACCGGTGGATTGGAAGAGATAGCCCATTTCCCTGGCCACCTCGTTTCTGTGGAGTTATGTAAGATATCGTGTATCGAACAAAGATAGGGGACATGACTGATAAAAAGCAAAAGATCCCTGATGCCATTGCCACTATTGATGAGGCTATGCTACAACGAACATGGCAAGAAATCGAGTACTGTCCGTAGACAGAGCCCCGAAGGAGTCACGCTCCTGGGCCAGATTAACTCTTGTAACTCATAGAGGTTGATATAAACTGACTAACAATATCTACTACTACTGTAAACTGACCAACAATACATTTTTATAAAAAAATGACCAACAATAACTATAGTAGGATGACCAACAAATGAACCCCTAATATTTTTAGACAGGTGGATTGGAAGGGATGGCCAAAATTCTCTGGCCACCTCATTCACCAGATATTACATCCCTTTCTATAGGGTTATAAGATATCGTGTATCAAAACGGGACGTCACTGATCTAAAGCAAAAGATCCCTGATGCCATTGCCACTATTGATGAGGCTATGTTACAACGAACATGGCAAGAAATCGAGTACTGTCCGTAGACAGAGCCCCGAATGAGTCACGCTCCTGGGCCAGATTAACTCTTGTAACTCATAGAGGTTGATATAAACTGACTAACAATACCCACTACTATTGTAAACTGACCAACAATATATATTTATCGTAAAATGACCAACAAATCCCTAATATTTTCAAACAGGTGGATTAGAAGGGATGGCCAAAACGGCACGTCACTGATCTAAAGGAAAAGATCACTTTTTTTTTCTTTTTTTTTAAAGCATTATGCCCCGAGTAAGGCGTGAAGCCACTAGGATGCAGGAGGTTGCAGAAGATTTGGAGCAAGAGCAGATAGGAGTGATAGAAGAAAGGATGAAGAGAGGGATAGTGGGTAGATCAAGGTAACTAGAGGTGTCGATTGACATTACATTTGAATAGTTGGAGATTATAGCTCTCAGGGAAACAGCAATTGGGAAGGGTGTTCCACAGGCGAGAGGTGCGAGGTATGAAGCTATTGGAGTAGAAGAGACGGCTACATTTAAAAGTTTCTAAAGTGTAAGGGTGAGAGCGGGATGCCAGCCTCGTAGGGCGCTTGAATTCACGGAGTCTGGGAACCAGTGAAAGCAGCTCCTCGGAGCAATTACCATGAAAGTATTTGTAGAAAAGACAGAGAGAGGCGACGGCGCGTCTGTGAGAGATTGACAGATGCCATTGCCACTATTGATGAGGCGATTCTACAGCAAACATGACAAGAAATCAAGTACCGTCTTAATGTGCTTCGTGCAACTGATGGTTGCCCATATAGAAGTGGATGAAATTAGTTTTAAAAACTACTAATATCTACTCCTCATTTTGTAACAATTCCTACATACCTGTTGGTTCATTTGCTTTTTAATAATTTTTTTTTAAATT